TTTAAGAAAAAGTTTGCCGAATTTTACAATTACTACCAACATGTTTTCTCTAATGTTCTGTTAAAAATAAGTAGTTTACTTTATTTACTACTGAAACACAATTTCTAACGTAGTAATAAAACTAGAATTATCTAAATAACTACGGATTTCTTAAACTAAGGGGACTTTCCATTTTGACCGTTTCTTATCAGTGCTTTAGAACTGTAGGAAAACTCTTGACAAATTGAAAAACAGCAAACTTTGAATTTTCATTAGGCATTCCGTAGACGATGAAAAGTTCACTTGTTTCAATTTTCCATTAAGTTTTCGCATCAAGATTTTCTTTATAAACGAAATAGAAAAACGGCTACGAAATAGATATTAATTACAACAAATTTTAAAAAGGTTAGTAGTTTGTTTATCAACTAAAATTAGATACATCTTTTCTTTAAAGAACATTTTTGGGACAATTAACTAAATGCTATATTTGTATTAAAACTTAATTGAAATGGGAACACCACTGATGTGCTCATTAATTGATTTGAGGCGGAATCTCATACAATTTCACGCATACATTGCTGTAATAGTTACGTTAGAGAAATAGCTAGTAGTAGCAAATACACCAACATGAGAAGTAATTTAAAGGCAGAATTGAGAAAAATAACATTATTTTTATAATTAAAATATACTTAACAAAAATAAAATTGTTTATTGAAAACATCGTCATCATCAACTTGCCCTAATCTCTTACGGAGGATCGACCCAGTATGTACTGCTCTTCCATACATCTATATCAGCCGTCATATCTGAATCCACTCCTTTCTTTAGCATATCCTCTTTCACGCAATCGATCCATAATTTTTTTGGTCTTCCACATATAGAAACATATAGAAAACATCGTCATAAAATGAAATTCCAATTAAAATCATACTTTCATCATTACAATTAACGATCGATTTAAAAGTAACAATAAATAATTGCTTTCGGGTCATTTATTACTTAACTAACTTAGACGTCACAAAATATTACGTCAAGTTAAAGTGTTAGTCATAACGGCCATCGCACGTAAATTAATTACGACGGGCGTCCTGTGTTCCCAACAGGCTCCCGCGGGATCTCGCGTCAGACACAGTAAATCGAACACTCTCAGCCAGACAGACGGACCGACAAACACTAATAGATGGCGAAGCGGATTAACTTCAAGTTGCCTATACACATTTACATCTATTCATTTAATTATGCATCTATATTTCAATTGTATGGTTACACACTACGCTAAAGCATGTTAGCTGTCATCTCCGATACGTACTTCGAACAAAACTTAACAATACATAACCCAAATATTAAAACGTTGTTAAACATAACAGATATTTAAATTATAAGGCTACGCTTTATCTCCCAATTTTTACACCTATTAGATTTAAAACGGCGCTTCAGTATTGGGCCGTAAGTGATTCTAAACTATATACAAATTGCTATAAAACGGAAGCAATATGAAAATTAAAGTTTCCCACTGTACAGGGGAAATTCTATTATAACACAATAAGTCGCGAAACCTCGCTATAAGGTGCAGTATAGCTTGGCAAAGCAAAACAAAACATTAACGAACGTACCTTGCGGCGTGACTGGACGGCCACGGGAGAGGGAGTGACAACATACAGACATTGGCTACACTGATGTTGGCCCAAATGTTGGCACCAGACTATCACTTTGGTATGGTTATGATTTATAAAAGTTAATATATCATATAAGACCAAATATTTGATAGAAATTGATAGCGCTAATTGTGTTTGATGTGTTTATAATTTTTTATTTTGTAATGTGTTTATAAAAGGGCACGTTTAAAGTTAAAATTTTGACTGACATTGTAACAACGCTTAAGAAGCGAAGTATTTCAGTTTTTTTCAGTATTCTAGCGTCTTAAGAGCCATCATTTAAAGTTAAGAAGATTATAAAACTTATTTATGAGAAATATTACATTAACAATATATTTAAACAGTTAACATGCCTTAAGTTATTATTACTTTACAGTTGCTTGCAGGAACTATTCCGTATACATTCTACAGTTTGGTATTTGCAAGCCTAATTCAATTTAAGTTAGACGCTTCATAGACTTAGGTCATCTAACTATTCAGCGAACTATTAACGCCAAAGCATCAAAGTATTCTAAATGAATGTATAATGAAGCTTTCAATTTAATGCGAACTTGCTAAAGTTCGTTTAAAATTAAGCTGTTTTATGAAAAGGCCAACAAGAAGTAAATTTATACATTAATGTATATTTTTATATCTTTTGAAACAACTCAAAAACTACTTGGCCGATTTCAAAAAATCTTACACAATTAAAAAACTACGTTATCAGTGAGTAACATAGGTCATTTATTATTTATTTAACTTCACGTGGACGAAGTCACGAGTCACAACTAGTTATAAATGTGGAAGTTTAGATGGATTAATTGATTTATATTGTTAAGTAATTTGGAACAGAGACAGTTTAGTCTGTAATCTATACTGATATTATAAAAAGGAAATATTTGTATTTATTGAAATAACTCAAAAACAACTGGGCCGATTTTAAAAATTCTTTCACCGTTAAATACCTACGTTGACAGTGAGTAACATAGGCTATTTTATTTCACGCGGACGAAGTCGCAGACAACAGTAAGAAATAAACAAAAGGAAAAACTAATTTAAGACAAAATGCAAGAAAAAATCTTGTGTGTGAAAATCCGTTTTATTTTTATATTGTTCAATATGATGACAATTTTCAATTTACTTTTTTTTGTTAAAGTGCTGTCGCCATCACAATGTAATGTGGTCGTAAATAAAATTTATGAGGTAATTGTTTTAAAAATCAATTAAGTGACGCGATATTGAAAAGGTATGCTAAAATTGCCTTATAAAATGTGCTAAAATATTTTTAAATTGCTTCTTCATTATTAAGTTAAATAATTTTTTGGATTTACTACTTATAACGACACTAGCTGTTCCCGTGCGGCTTCATCCGCATGAAATTATACAAACTTAATTCTGTTGTTTACATTTGTCAAATGTCAAAATGACATGACATGATGACACACCATTGCAATCTTACCTCCTTGATGTTGGCAAAAACTTATGATCTCTTTCCCACATAAGGTTTTTATCCAATTTATTTAGCTTTTAAGTTTAATGGCGTTAAAATATATAGCATAAAGCGTAATGCAAGTGTAGGGCTTTTTATAAAATGAAAAGAATAATTAAAAAATATGCTGTAATTGCTGACATCTTAGGCAACAGAGAAGTGTGTGTTTACGCTTTATTATAATAGTATAGATATAGGTAACCGGAGTAGTACAAAGTTTTAGTATAAAATCTAAGGGGACTACTTAGGTAACCATCAAGTAACTCTGTGTGCGTCAGTAAAACAAAACAATAATTCTTTTCACTGTAGTTAAGTCTATAAATGTTACATTAATTAATGTTACGAATGCGTCATTACAGAACATTTAAGAACACAACTGAACGTAACTCTGAAAAGCTAACACTTCAACTGAAAAGCTAAAACAAAAACCGCTCAAATAAATAGATGTCGCTCGTGAAATTCTATTTTTAAATCACTCACGTATATTAAAGGTGTACTTCAATGTATCGCGAATGTTGGCTCCAATGTTGGGTACTATATAGTTGGACGCAGTTGGGACTTGGGGGTTGTTTCCGGCACTCGAGTGTGACGCTCCGGGGGCGCAGGTCGCGTCATCGCCCGACGAACTCGTGCGAACTTGTGCCGCGAAAAGTGCAAACTTGATTTAGTGTACCATTTTAAGGTAAATATTTTTTAATGTCAATTAGGTTATTTTTAGTTTTTTTGATATCAAAAATGTTGCGTTAATCTAAAAAATATAGCTTGACATTTATAACCTTTGAATTAGTAGAAATAAATTCGCGATATATTCTGAAAACCAATTGGTATTAAGGGACTACAAAAATATTCCAGTTATTAAAGTTGGAACACAAAAGAATCTCACATATTCCATTTTAGTTTTAAGCGGCGTCACAAACCTTTTGTTTATATTAAATCCGGATTTGACTGTCTATAAAATTGTTTTCGCGCTTTATTTTTAACAAATTTTATCAAACTCTGTGATAGTTGTATAACATCAAGATAACTTTGGCTAATAAATGTATCTATCTCAAAGTCACGTTATTTTTTTTAAATTATCGATCTGACTTCAATGTTATTAAGTAATTGTTGGATTAAATATACTTGTTGCAATTGAAAACATTAAATTTCTTTGATCAAATAGTACTAATATCATACTAATATTACAAATGAGAAAGTTTAGAAGGATGGATGGATGGGTGTTTGTTAAAGTTTGTAACCTTAACGGCTGAACGGATTTCGAAATCCGTACAGACGTACAGGATAGTCTGAAAGAACACATAGGCTACTTACTTTTGTTTTTTTTTTCAATTCCGCTCGGACGGAGTTGCGGGCGAAAGCTAGTTTAACCATAAAAACAGTCCGATAATAGTCTGTTAGGAATACAAAGTAGTTCGTCAATACCATCATTTGTTAAAATGTCTAAATAATTAAAGTTAGGATCATCAATAAGTAAGAGTGCTTCAACTCTCCAATACTTTTACATCGCGTTGAGAATTTCAATATTCTTTCAAATACAAACAACACCATTATTTTACATTTCTGTACAACAACGACATCCGAATCCAATTAATTCTAACAGAACTTCTTTATTAGACTTCTAACTTTATGAATAAACATAAGATAACTGAATAGTTAAGTATAACTTATCTATCTTGTTTCAGATGTGTTTCAGACGGAATAAGAAAGCTAGTTGACAGATTTGTTAAAAACAGTTGTATACTGGCTGGAT